TGCCGGGCGGCTCGGCGGCTGGGCGGCTCGGTAGCTGGGCAGCTTGGGTGGCTCGGGCGGCTCGGGCGGCTCGGGCGGCTCGGGTACTCAGCGGCACAGGCGGCTCGGGCGGCTCTGCTCCTCAGCGGCACAGGCGGTTCGGGCGTCACGGCGGCGTACGGGCGGTGCGGGGCCGGTACGGTGGCGCGCGGCTGAGACGGGTGGCGCACGGGCGGCGTGGGAGCCGGGGCGGCGGCACACGGCTAGGACGGGCGGCGCACAGGAGGCAAAGGGCCGGGACGACGGCGGAGAGCCGGGACGGGCGGCGCACGGGCTGAGTGGGGCCGGAACTGCGGTGCGCGGCCGGGACGGGCGGCGCAGTGGCGGCGTGGGGCCGGGACGGGCGGCGCGTCGGCGTTGACGGGCTGGGGCAGCGGCGTGCGGCGGAGATGGGCGGCGCGCTGGCTGCTAAGGGGCCGGGACGGGCGGCGCGCGGGCGTCTAGGGGCCGGGACGGGCGTCGCGCGGGCGGCTAAGGGGCCGGGACGCGCGGCGCGCGGGCGTCTAGGGGCCGGGACGGGCGTCGCGCGGGCGACTAAGGGGCCGGGACGGGCGGCGCGCGGGCGTTTAGGGGCCGGGACGGGCGGCGCGCGGGCGTCTAGGGGCCGGGACGGGTGTCGCGCGGGCGGCTAAGGGGCCGGGACGGGCGGCGCGCGAGCGTCTAGGGGCCGGGACGGGCGGCGCACGAGCGTCTAGGGGCCGGGACGGGCGGCGCTCGGGCGGCTAAGGGGCCGGGACGGGCGGCGCGCGGGCGTCTATGGGGCCGGGACGGGCGTCGAAAGGGGCCACTAGGGGCCGAGAGAGAGGGGAGCGCGACTCGGGCAGGGGCAGAGTGCATTCCGGGCAGGAAAAAAAAAAGACGGTGGGCCCTAGGAACAGTTCCCACGAGGGAACCTGCTCGATACCATGAGAAAAGTAGAACGAGAATGAATGACTAAGGAATGGAAGTGATACATATAGGAAACCCTAATTGGGTTGTACCCCTTATGGGATACCCCACTATAGCCTACACAAAATGTATAAGCTATACAGAGTTCTGACACACAGCTGCCGCCACCGCCTGGAAGTCCTTGCCAGCCTCCGGCACCAGCGAGATGGTCGGCTCCACGACGCTGACTAGCGAGCACGACGCCGTCTTGTCGTCCCGCCCCTTGCCGCCAGCAGAGGAGTCGGCGTCCTTCACCGAGGTCGACTTCGTCGACTGCTTCTCCTTGCGCGGCTTATTTCCTCCATGATGAGGTCGATGGCTTCCAGACCTTCCGCAGCCTCCCTTGGCGTCCTCATCGTCGGAGTCGCTGCGGTCGGGGCACTCGAAGGAGAGATGGTCGGGGTCGCCGTACAGCCAGCACCCCCGACGTCGACTTCGTCTGCCTCGACCGTTGTCCTTGGTCGACTTCTTCTTATCGACTTCCTTGGCCGGCTTCCAGCCACTGCTACCACCGCCGCCAGACTATCCGCGTTGCCCCGGTCAACCTCCTTGTCTCGCGGGGGCGACAAAGTTCGCATGCGCCAAGAGCTCCTAAGACGGCTCAGCCTCCTGCATCGCCTCATCATGCAGGATGTACGAGGTCAAGTTGTCCTCGTTGAGTGTCGCCTTCGTGCTCGGTTCCATTGACAGCTGCTTCATGAGGTTGTAGCTGCTCGAGAGTCCTTGCATGACGTGGGTGACGTACGACGCCGTTCAGTGTTGCGCGCCGGCCATCCTGATGGTGGCGAGAATCTATCGAGCTCGGTTGTAGTAGTCAGACGCCGTCTCCTCGTCGCCCATACGCAGGTGCGTCAGCTGCCCCTCAAGCTGGGCGATGACCAAGTCGTCGGTGACTTGGTGGTTGACTCAATGAAGTGCCACGCGCGGTGGCCGGCGTCGAGGTACTCTCGTCACCACTTCAAGGCAATCTGCACGCCCGGCGAGCAGCACCGCGAGATGACCGTGAAGATCAACAGCTGCACGGCGCGAAACTCCGCACGCAAGTCGGGATCGTCCTGCGTCGCCATGGTGCCTCGAGCAAAGCTTATCAGCCCGGCCATCTTCAGCTGGGGCTCGATGGCTTCCTTCCAGGTGAGAATGTCGGGTCGACCAACGAGTGGCGGGGTGACCAAGATCCTGTCCGGTGTAAACTTGAAGTAGCCGTAGCTCGGTGGAATCCCGCCCGTCGTCACCTGGGTCGCCGGCATCGTCGACAATCCGCTTCTTCGACCTCCGACATCGCCCTGCGAGGAGCCTGCAACCGCCAACGACCGCACCCCTCGTGCCTGAACGCCGCCGACTTCATCGGCATGTATCACGCCTCGCTGCCTTGACATGCCTCCCGCACTGCTGCCGACTTGACCACCTCCTGCGTTGATGCCCACGTCGACGCCGCCTTCGTCGTTCACCGGTCGAGGAGAGGCAGGCCAAGAAGAGTGCTCCATCGCCCACATGGTGCGGAGTCCAGCCTCGACGACCGCCCAAGGTATCGCCCCGTACTCCTGGGCCTCATGGCGTTTCCTCGCATCCTCCAGCAGTGCCTCCAGGGTGTCCATCATCTCTGCGTCACCTACCCGCACGCTAGTGACTGCACGGCTGTCGGCCTACGAGCAACTTAGGTAAGTGACCACTACGTCGACCTGACGGAGAGGTAAGTCGCGTGCCGTCCACGCTTACCGCACCATGCGGAGATAACTACTACAACAGGAGCTAGACTACGAGCTAGGCACGGGTGCTCGTGTGATCTCTGCGTTCGTTGTTCCTTAGTCCTTTTTCTAGCGCACACACTGCTTGCTAGTTCACGGAGCAATTTGGCAAGAGTTTCACTAGAGAAAGTTGACAATAATTGGTACGATAAGGTTTGAAAGACAAGACTACATCAGAGCTAGCAGTCAGGTCGGTCGACTGCCACCGCAGCATGGTCGACCGCGTTCCAGCACGACTTGGTCGACCGCGCTACAGCAAAGTCGACGGCGTGCCAACACTGCAGGTTGACGACGTGCCTGCGTTGCTTTCGCAGAACAGCAACGCACCAACTTTGTAGGTCCTCGCATATGATTGGTGTGCTGAGCCTCGTCACGTGCACTACGCATACACCAAGTCAACCTGGCGCATACATCTGATCAGCCACGTCGACCTCAGGATACCAACACCGAGGTCGGACTCGCCAACTTCTCCTGGGCGACCGTCGCACTCCTCCGTAGAACCTCGTCACCCAGGTAACATGGTCGACCGGGCAACCACGTCGACCAGCTGCTCCTATATGTGCCCGTCGACTTCCCAATCGACGGCCACCTCTTGTTGACCTGCCAGGTCGACCACGCCCCTGGTCGACCAGCTCCAATTCGACATCTCTCCTGGTCGACCAACTCCACGTCGACCAACACAGTTGTCAGCCGGCCACCCAAGTCGGCTACCCCAAGTGGGCGTCACCATGTCGGCGCCCTCCACAGGTCGACCTCCATGAAGTCAGCGCCAACCAGAAGTCGGTGCCCGTGCAGTGGCCCCCATGCAAATCGACCTCCTCGTCAACTAGCTCGCCCACTGCTGCAGGTTGGCTGCTCCCCTCACACCCAACCACGAAGTCAGCTCCGCCCAAGCGAAGACGGGGCCAAACCCAACTCCCGTTGACATAAAGGAGAGTTTGAGGGGTGGGGAATTTTTAGATAGGGTCTTTAGAGTTGTCTTTATGGGGTTCCTTGTGTGGTGTTTTTTGAGTCTTTTGGGGGTGCATTTTCCCTTTCCTTTTCCCTTTCTTTCAACTTCCTCTGCCTCTTTTTTCCTTTCTCCCCTTTTCACTTTCCTTCTCCCTACCCTTCCTATTCATCTCTTTCTCTTCCCCCTTTTCTTCCTTTTGATACCTCTCCTTGAGCCTTGTATTACATGTTGTATTATTGAAATGTGGATTACATGCTGTATTATTAAAAGGTAGATACATTTTGGTTCTAAATGAGTGGCACATGCTTGATATCTATGTTGAGCCATTGAAGTAAATCTGAAGTTGTACTCGAACATGTGAGGTCTCTCACACTTAGAAGGGTAGTAGGGCTCCCGTAGTCCCTAAACTCCAGGGTATTTACAGGATAAATACTTCAAAACCGGAAAAGTGCTTCAGAACAAGCCGACAAGCAACATCATCCTTTCATAGTCGTATTTCTATTCCTCAGCCTGGTTCGCTTCCATTGTCCTACTGAAAAATGCGTCACCACCGAAGTTGTGCGTGGGTTCAAATCGACGAAGCAACTCATCGCTGCGGAGCAGCGCCAGCGAGTCGTCCCCGACATTGACTAGCTGCTGTACATGTATTTACTGAACACATAGCCCATTCCATCGCCATATTTTGCGGACTCCCCCCCACCCGAACCAGGTTTCCGGACCGCCCTAAAATCACTGGTTGAGCCCACGTTTCGAGACCAGGTTGATGCGCATTGCGGACGCAGTTGTCTCTAAGGTCAGGTCAGGATGATTTCTTTGTTTTGACTAACAAATCCGACCAGCGGGACGTGGGGCTGCGCAATGCACCCGCAGTTGTCTCAGGACGACAAGACGATCAGCATTGAGGCGGCGCATGAGAGGGAAGGCATGATATATGAGTCGCCGAGAACGCCACGTAGGCACGCGCAAGGCCACGTAAGCGCGCGCAAAGCCACGTAGGCGCGCGGAAGGCCACGTTGGCGCCATGAAAGCCATGAAGGCGTGCGGAAGGCGAGTGGGCGCGCGGAAGGCAGAGGCGCGCGTAGGGGGCGGAAGGCAAGTTCACCAGCCGCAACCATAGTAGCTTCATCACTATTTAAAACCCCTGCTCTACGCACCAACCATGCCCCTCATATCAATCTCCTCGGATTCCACTTTCCGAGCTCCAAGCATCTGCCGCAGAGCATTAGCCACACCGATGTGGGGGTGTGTTCCCTGAATCTCGCGTGACGTGAGAGCCACCCGGCCCGTCGTTCCCGCGGGAACTAGTTGTGGCGGTGCGGCATTCGTCTCGTCTCGAGATGGCTCGCACCATCGGGATCGCCGCCGCTCGGCCGGTCGCGATGCCGAGTTGCCGCTTCGTGTCCCTCGTGGCTTCCGCCGCGGCGCTTCTGCTCCTTGCAAACGACGCCCTGCCGACGCTCGCGGATTCGACTCAGATGGCGGCTGCGAGCCGTCGGGTCCTGAAAGCCGCCGCGCCCGTTGCAGGACCCGCGCCCGGAGCAGGGACCGGGGCACCTGCAGTCGGCGCGCCACTGCCGCCGCCGTTCGATCAGTACTACGAGGACGACTACATGCGTCACAAAAAATGGGACGCACAAAAGCTGTCAACAATTGGCGTATCCAGCAGGCATGCGCACCCGGGCATGGCCTAGAAAGCTGTTAGCACACACTAAGCAATCATTTCAAGACAAGGAATGCAGATGCACTGTCAGAGTGTATTTGAGCAATGGAACCCTTTTCACATTGTGTTTCCTGGAGGGGTGCGTGTTTCATTTGGTTCTTCGTTACAGCAGGCCTCGCATGTTGTTTAGAAGTACAGTTCTTTTTCCGAAAACGTCAAACGATCGTGACAGAAGAGAAATGTGTATCAGATAAGGCGTTGCTGACGCGTCAGAAATGGAGTGGATGATCTCTGCGGTGTCACAACTAGAGATATGAGAGCGCGGATGAGACTGGGGGCTTGGTGACGCACGGCCTGCAAACTCAGGGTTTCGTCAGCCATTCTTCATCAGCCTTCATCACGCGGATGTTGTGTCAGAACATTATAGCTTATACTTTTGTGTAGGCTGTAGTGGGGTAGCCCATAAGGGGTACAACCCAATTAGGGTTAGTACTTGTACCCAACTGTTTCATAGTTCAATCATTCTCGTTCAATTTCACATGGTATAGAGCAGGTTCCCCTGTGGGAACTGTTCCTAAGGCCCACCGTTTTTTTTTTCCTGCCCGGAGCGCGCTCAGCCTCTGCCCGAGTCGCGCTCCCCTCTCACGACCCCGTCACGCCGCCCTTACGACCCCGCCGCGCCGCCTTAGCGGCCCCGTCGCGTCGCGCCTCCCTAGCGGCCCCGTCGAGTGCCCTTGCGACCCCTTCGCGCCGCCCTCGCGGCCCCATCACGTCGCGCCGCCCTCTCGGCCTCGTCGCGCCGCCCACGCGGCCCCGTTCCGCCGCCCTCGCGGCCCCGTCGCCTACCCTTGCGGCCCCAACGCCTACCCTCGCGGCCCCGTCGCCTACCCTGCGGCCCCATCGCCTACCCTGCTGGCCCCGGCGCCTACCCTACGGCCCCGGCACCTACCCTGCGGCCCCATCACTGACCTTGCTGGCCCCGTCGCCTACCTTGCAGCCCCGGCGCCTATCCTGCGGCCCCGTTGCCTACCCCTGCGGCCCCGGCGCCACCCTTCCCGGCCCCGGCACCGCCCTTCCCGGCCCCGGCACCGCCCTTTCCGGCCCCGGCGCCGCCTCTACTGGCCCCGTCGCCTACCCCTGCGGCTCCGGCACCACCCTTCCCGGCCCCGACGCCGCCCTTCCCAGCCCCGGCGCGGCCTCTGCTGACCCTGTCGCCTACCCTGCGGCCCCGGCGCTACCCTTCCCTGCCATGGCGTTGCCTCTACCGGCCCCGCCGCCGTTCCTACACGGCCCCGCCGTCACCATTGAGCCACCTGAGCCGCCCGAGCCGCCGCGCCACCTGAGCCGCCCGAGCCGCCGTACCGCCGAGCCGCCGTACCGCCGAGCCGCCGAGCTGCCAGCGCCGCCGAGTCGCCGAGCCGCAGTTGCTGCCGAGCCGCCGAGCCGCCCGAGCCGCCCGAGCCGTCAAGCCGCCGAGCCGCCGAGCCGCCGAACCACCGAGCCACCCAAGCCGCCCTGTCCGGTAAGAGCAGCGCCTCTGTCACTGCACTGCCCTTACCCTACTGTTTGCGCAGCTAGTCTACTGCTGTCATGGCTACCCCTAGTGTCCTCGCTTTTGACGCTGAGGGTCAGGCCATTGACTTTGACGTCTGGGTAGATGACCTGCAGCTTTTCCTACAGTGTGATAGGGCAGACGGTCTCTCCCTCTTTGACCTCACTTTTGGTGCCTCTCCTGCCCCTGCTGCTGATGCTGACGCCACTGTTTGCTCACAGTGGGCCACACGCGATGCTGCTGCACGTCTTGCTCTGTGTCGCCACCTGCCTACCTCTGAGCGTGCGCACTTTCCCTTCGCGTAGTCAGGGACCACTTCCTCTCAGTTTGCCCCACCACTCTCACCGTTGACCTCCTCGAGAAGGCCCTCCTAGCAGCAAAGAAGAGCATAGTAGCTGTAGGAGCCTCTCGTGGTGACCCTCACACCCCCATCTTTTGAGGGGTGTTCCCCCTCCCCCCTTTTGCCGTCTGCTGCCTCTGCTGCTGCGGCCAACCTCGTTGGTCTTGAGTCTGTCGGTGCGGCGTCTATCCCTAGCGGGAGACGCCGCCCTGGCAAGGGCAAGGGGGGCAGGGGCGGTGCAGGAGCTAGCGGGGGCGGTGGAGGCGGCGGTGGAGGCGGCAGAGGGGGTGAAAGTGGGTGTGGGGGTGGTGGCGAGGGTGGAGGTGTCGATGGCGGCAGTGGAGGCGGAGGCGGCGGCGGCGGTGGCGGTGGGAGCGGAGGTGGCGGAGGTGGCGGCGGTGGAGGAGGCGGTGGCGGAGGAGGTGGAGCTGGTCGGGGTGGCGCTGCGCAGAGGATCGGCTCCAGTGGTGATCAGCGCCAGCAGCAGCAGCAGCGTTCTCGGGACATCCCCCCTCCTCAGCATCTCCGTGAGTGGTACACGCAGCGTCAGCGTCAGCTTAGTGATGAGGGTGACTGTTACCGGTGTTTTCCGCCCAACCCGGGCATTGAGACTGCTGCTCTAGGTACTGGTGAGGCTGCTGCTCTAGGTGCTAGTGAGGCTGCTACTCTAGATGCTCGTGCGTCTGCTCCCTTAGGTGCTGGTGAGTCTGCTCTCTCAGGTACTGCGTCGGCTTCGGCCTCCCACACCTTCACCCTTGACTCAGGGGCTTCTTGCTCCTTCTTTCGAGACCGCACCATACTCACGCCGCTTGGCCGACCAGTTGCAATCTCTCTGGCAGACCCCTTTGGGGGTCCTGTCCTTGCTTACTTCTCCACTGTCCTCCCACGTCCGGCGGCCCCCTCTGGCACCCTGTCTGGCCTTTACCTCCTCTCGTTCTCTACGAACTTGGTAAGTGGTGCTGACCTACAGGATGCGGGGGCTCACCAGTTTACTCCTGCGAGTCAACGGGTGACCCACTGCACGGACGCTCGGACAGGCCGACACCTGGCCACGTTTACACGTCGGCCGGGGTCGAGCCTGTACACACTGACCACTGCGTCTCCTCCAGTCACTGCGTCTGGTCAGGTAGCTGCGTCGGGTCAGGTGTTTGCTGCAGTGTCCAGGTCTGGTCCTGAGTCTGCCCCCTGCTCGTGTCGCCTCCTGTCTCACGAGACTCTCCTCTGGCACCACCGCCTTGGTCACCCCTCCCTCCTTCGTCTCCGAGGCATGGCCTCTCGTGTCCTTGTCTTTGGTCTTCCCCGGTCCCTCCCTCCCCTTCCTCCGGGGCCTGGCCTTACCTGCGTCCCCTGTGTCAAGGGGCGGCAGCGGGCTGCCCCTCACTCCTCCCAGTTTCCTCCGATAGAGGCCCCGCTGCAGACGCTTCACATAGGCGTGTGGGGCCCGTCCCGCGTCCGTGGACAGGGTCACGAGCGCTACTTCCTGCTGGTGGTTGACGACTACTCACGTTACACCACAATCTTCTCCTTGCGGAGGAAGGGTGATGTCACTGAGGTGTTGATCGACTGGATCTGCGCAGCTCGTCTCCAGCTCAGGCAGAGCTTTGGCTCGGACTTTCCTGTCCTGCGTCTGCACTCTGAGCGAGGCGGAGAGTTCTCCTCTGGCCTTCTGCGAGCCTACTGTCGTGCACGAGGCATCCACGAGACCTTCACGCTTCCGGACTCTCCACAGCAAAATGGGATTGCTGAGCGCCGCATTGGCATGGTCATGGACGTCGCACGTACGTCCATGATGCATGCGGCTGCCCCCCATTTTCTGTGGTCGTTTGCGGTTCGGTACGCGGCGCATCAGATCAACCTTCACCCCAGGATCTCCATGCCAGAGACCTCCCCAGCTTTGTTGGGGAAGGATGGCGATGCGTCTGCGTTTCGTGTCTGGGGATCTTGGGCGTTTGTCCGCGACTTGTCTGCTAATAAGCTGTCCCCTTGTGCTGCTCCTTGCGTCTTCCTTGGCTTCCCCCCTGACGCGCCAGGGTGGCAGTTTTACCACCCCACCTCTCGCTGTGTTCTGTCCTCCTAGGACGTCACGGTTGACGAGCCGGTCCCCTACTACCGCCTCTTCCCCTACCGCACTCCGTCCCTCCCCCCGCCACCGCTCTTCCTTGTGCCAGGTCCCCCCCCGGTAGACCCCCTCCCCCCTCAGGGTCCTGCCCCTTAAGGTGTGTCCAAGGTAGACACAGTCGAGCCTGTCGAGGTTACTGGTGACTCTGGTGCTGCTGAGGGTGCTGAGCCTGGGGGTGCTGACTCTGGGGGTGCTGAGCGTGTGGGTGCTACGCCTGGGGGTGCTGGGCCTAAGGGTGCTACTACTGGGGGTGCTGAGCCAGGGGGTGCTACCACTAGGGGTGCTGAGCCTGGGGTTACTGAGCCTGGGGGTACTGAGCCTGGAGGTACTGAGCCTAGGGGTGCAAAGCCTGAGGGAGCTGGGCCTGCTCGTGTGGCGTCTGGCGGTGCTGGGCCTGGAGGTTCTCCGGGTGCTTCGTCTCGGCAGGAGCCACTCTCTCCACCGGAGCTGCTCGAGTGGTTTGCCCAGCACTGGAGGCGTGCTGCTGGAGCTGGAGGTTTTTCGGCTGCTGAGGGTGCTGGTGCGGCGGGTCCGAGAGGTTCTCGTACTGGGAGTTCTGGAGCTGCTGGGCTTGCGGATACGACTGGAGCTGGAGCTGCTGAGGGTGTTGGCGCTGAGGCTACTACTGTCGTTCCTGGAGGCGGTCCTGCTGGGGGTGCTACTGGTGCTGCTGGAGGTACTGGAGCTGGAGGTGCTGCTGGCGCTGGTGGTGCCGCTAGGGGTACTAGAGCTGTCCCTGCTGTGTCTGGAGTCGCCGCGCGGCCTTGGCTGTACTTCGTTCCGCTCCTTCAGCAGGTTCTTGGTCTCCCGCCTTCTACTGGTCCTCCTCCTCCCTTAGAGTGTCCACAGCCTGTCCCGTCACAGTTACAGTTACAGCCGGCCTCCCCAGTGCCTGCTCCTTCTCCCTACACTGGTCCTACTGGAGATCTTGCTGAGCGTCGTGAGCCTGCGTCTCGCCCTGCGTCGCCTGTCCGTCCTGCTTGCACTAGTGGTTGTGGTTCACGTCAGCGTCCTCCTCCTGTCCCTAGCACGCACCAGATGTCTCTGTGACCGTCCACTCCTCCTCTGCATGCCCCTTTGGCTTCTCCTCCTAATTCCTCTCTTCCTGCTCTTGCCGACCCGGAGTCGGACTCTCTTCGTGCTGCCACTCCTACTCTCATGCGTCTCCTTGCTACTGTTGTCACTGACCCTTCCTTTGAGTCCACTGCTGCGTCTGCCCTAGTTGCTGAGCTCGTCGACTTTGCTGCTCGCTGTCGTCTAGACTACACTGCTAGTCTTGTCGCTGAGTCTGAGTCTGTCTGTCCCCGCCGCCCTTCACTGCGGCCCCGCCGCCTCTCTCGCTGCGGCCCCGCCGCCCTACTCAGCGGCCCCGCCGCCCTTCACTACGGCCCTGCCGCCTCTCTCCTTGCGGCCCCGCCGCCCTACTCAGCGGCCCCGCCGCCCTTTTACTGCGGCCCCGCCGCCCTTCTCAGCGGCCCCGCCGCCCTACTCACCGGCCCCGCCGCCCTTCTATTGCGGCCCCGCCACCCTTCTTCTGCGGCCACGCCGCCCTTCTCAGGGGCCCCGCCGCCCTTCTCAGCGGCCCCGCCGCCCTTTACCAGCGGCCCTGCCGCCCCTTCACTGCGGCACCGCCGCCCCTTTCACCAGCCGCCTTGCCGACCTATACCGCTCGCGCCGCACGAGCCGCCCGAACCGCCCGAGCCGTTCGACCTGCCCGAGCTGCTCGAGCCGCCCGAGCCGCCCGACCTGCCCGAGCCGCCCGAGCCGCCCGAGCTGCCCGACTCTCCCGAGCCGCCCGAGCCGCCCGACCAGCCCGAGCCACCCGAGCCGCCCGAGCCGCCCGAGCCACCCGAGCCGCCTGAGCCGCCCGAGCCGCCTGAGGAGCCGAGCCGCTGGTGCCACGGAGCCGCAGTTGCTGCTGTGCCTTCCGAGCAGCCGTGTTGCTGTGCTTATGTACTGCTGAGCTGCCCGACCCGCCCTGTCTGGTGAGAGCAGCGCTTCTGTCACTGCACTGCCCCTGTCCTACGGTTGGTACTACTAGTCTACTGCTATCATGGCTACCCCCAGTGTTCTCGCTTTTGACGCTGGGGGTCGAGCCATTGACTTTGAGGTTTGGGTAGATGACCCGCAGCTTTTCCTACAGTTCGATAGGGCAGACGGTCTCTCCCTCTTTGACCTCACCTGTGGTGCTTCCCCTGCCCCTGCTGCCGATGCCGACGCCACTGTTCGCTCACAGTGGGCCACTTGCGATGCTGCTGCACGTCTTGCTGTGCGTCGCCACCTACCTACCACTGAGCGCGCGCACTTCAGTCAGTACAAGAGTGCTCAGACCTTGTACGACGCTGTAGTTGAACGCTACTCTTCCCCTGCCACTGCTGCACTGAGCCACCTCATGCTACCGTACCTCTTTCCTAACCTTGCTGCCTTTCCCACAGTTGCTGACCTCATTACGCACCTCCGCACTAGTGACACTCGCTACCGCGCCGCGCTTCCTGCTGAGTTCTGCGCCAAGAACCCCCCCCCCCCATGTACATCACTCTCTCTTATATAGTCACCCGCCTCCCTGACTCCCTTCGCGTAGTCAGGGACCACTTTCTCTCAGTCTGTCCCACCACTCTCACTGTTGACATCCTAGAGAAGGCCCTCCTAGCAGCGGAGAAGAGCATAGTCGCTGTAGGAGCCTCTCGTGGTGACCCACGCACCCCCATCTTTGAGGGGTGTTCCCCTTCCCCCCTGTTGCCCTCTGTCGCCTCTACTGTTGCGGCCGACCTCGTTGGTCTTGAGTCGGTCAGTGCGGCGTCTGCCCCTAGCGGGAGACGTCGCTCTGGAAAGGGCAAGGGGGACAA